TGTCTGTTCCTTGGAGGGAGCAGAGTGGGCCCCAGCACTGGCAGGAGCATCAGCTGCATTAGACGGGCTTCCTCGGCCCCGGTGCCAGCCACTCACCGTTTCTCTAAACTGCTGCCTTCTGTGTCCTGCGACAGAACTCAAGGTGTGCAGATGAGTACCAGGAGCAAAGCAGGCAGCCCCTTGCTCCGTCAGCCCGATTTCTGTGTCACTCTGGCCCCTCACAAAGCATCTCCGTGCCACAGCAAGACCAGTGCAGGCAGACCAACCACACAGCCTGGAAAGCACGGTGTTCCCCCCCCCCAACCCCATCCCCAGCCGACACCCCCGCCGAGGGCCCCCCACCCCACCCCAGAAAGCTGCACGTCGCCTTCCTCTGCACTTGGCTTCCTCCTCGTAATTCCTTCCCTCTCGTGCAGTCTCGCTCACTTCCCCCAAACCAAATGTGAGGCGTTCTCTAACTACGCCGGAAAATCAGAATTTATTGTACATATGTTTGTGTTCCACTTAATAAAAAAACCTATATTTTAAGATAAACTTTGTTAGTAATTCATGAGGTAAGTGACTATTTATGCTAATCAGGCAGAAATATATTCTCAAGCATAATGCATGACATAAATTTGAATGCAAAATGTTCAATTATGAAGTAAATACAGGTAATGCAAATAATAAATTACCTCTAATAAAAATTATAAAAGATGTATCTTCAAAGAGAGAGCGGCTTTAACTTACAACTGTGAATTGCTTAAAGAGAAAGGAATTAATAAATGCTGAATTACTCGGATGATTATTTAGCACATAATTCACCTATTCATAACGACTCCTGGTAATCAGACTGTTGTTTCACGTTCCCCAATCCGAGACGAGTCTTTCCTCAGCAATTTCACCCTTATCAGATTATCTCGTCTGATTCTATTAATTTTCTCCCATGAATCTGCTCACAGTGATGTGTGATTTACTTACCCTGCTAACTAAAGACTGCTAAAAGGATTTATCTAACACCAGACCTAAGAGCAGTAGATGCCTTATCATCTGGTTCCTCTGAATAACTCTTTCCCCAAATCAATTTAGTTAGTTTCACGGTAAAATTGAGTGGACTCTGGTTAGTTCTGCACCATAAAATCAGCTCCCAGATAAGCGAGTCGAGACGCCGCGCTTGATGCCCCGTGTTCTTTTCAGATTACATATGTCTGATTCCAACATTATATACCTGAGTTGTTGTAACTCACAATCAGGAAAAATATATATTCCTTTTAGCTTTTAATCATTGTAATTTGGACATGGGCAGTTGGGTTTTTTTTTCTTTTTGAGTAAAGTTGTGTGTACTGACTTGAAAACATAGCTGTGCTTCTGCTGCTAACACTTTCACAGACTCCTACATTTTTTGACCCATGCCCTCATCCCCAACCTCCCCAAACACACACACACACACACACACACACACACACACACACACACACACACACACCAAATCTGTCTATAAATATTCATTGCTTTCAAAATTTTTAATGCTGTTGGTTTGAATTGGTCAGTAATGATGAGTTCTTAGTTTCCAAATTACTCTATATTGTTCTGTAGAGATTACTGGAGTATATATAGCAAGGGGATATTACGCTGTAAGAAAACACAGTTCATATTGTATTTGGATTAGATGGACTTGGGTAGACGGGAAACAAGCAAGATTAGCAAAGAAGTCTAGAGAAATGTGGCCTGCTATAATTGTGGAGAATCAAAAACCTGAATAGTCCTAATTAAAATGAGAGAGCCCAATTGTTATAAAAGAAGTACCGCTAACAGGAAACTGTAAATGTTTAGATACCCCCGGTGAATCACTAAATAATAAAGTAAAAAAAAAATGGGCAAAAATGAGAATTAAGTCATAAGCCTGAGAGCACCATCGCTACATGCCTAGAGAAATAATTTGGGTCCCCTCTGCTTTTTTGACAACAACAACCCAAAGGAAAACATTGAGAGAGTTTTCTAAGAGACTTTGCAGTAAGAGGAAGAAAAATGCCATTGCTTGATGGCCGTGTACAGAAATAAACCATAGAAGATGTGTGGATAATAATACTTTAGTTGTCCAGTTGTGGACATTTAATTTGACATATAATTGCACCAGCTAGGTACCCGGGCATGAATCTATGTAGCCTGGTCTCCCGCATCAGTTAACTTTGTTTACAAACGTTTATTTGTAAGGGTAGCAATTCCAGTGTTTCTGGCCAAAAATACTTTCATGAGAGGCAGGGACCATATCTTAGTGCTTTTATAAAAAAAAAAAAAAGGAAAAAGGGGGAAAAAGGCAAAGCAAATGGATTTTTAAAAAACGTTAGCATGTATAAAATGAATGAATTCTTCCTAACTATACTTAAATTTATATCTTGCATAAAACAAACCCAAGAAGAGCTTTTGTGCCTGACGATTTTTAAAAGGGTCTCGAAAACTTGCTAAATGACATAATATGTTTATGTAATTTAAGCAGAGGCTTTGCCTCTGACTATACACACGCTGATCCCTTAATTTCATTGATAGGTAAAATACTGTTTAAGAGAAAGAAAGCAAAGGACTTCTGTCAAGTTGTATAAATATTGACATAATTGTCACTCTTCCTTCCCTACACCGATAATGGGCATGTTTCATTCCTTCCCCTCAGCGTGCCCCCCACGGAACTAAATCTGCACTTACGAGGAGCTTCTCTGCAGTGACAGAAAGAAAAAAAAGATGCTTTTTCTCCCAAATACCCTCAGCGTTTCTTTCCTCCTTAGGGTTATGAAATGCCTACAACTTTTCCGGGGAGCCTCTCGTTGGGGTGTCCAGGTTTTTCTCAAGGCAAGAGGGCACCCGAAAAAGGAGCCCAGGTCCAGGAGCCAGCGAGTGGCACTGAAGGTCTCGCCATAAACAGGAAAGCAGGCCTGGGGGTGGGTGAGGGCACCATGCCTGCAGTGTTCATGAAGCTGGCTTAATATATGACTAAGTGTCAGAAGGCAGGTTTTCTGAGAATTACTTTTCAGATAAACAACTTTATAGCACTGCACTTAATCTTACTTACTAGAGACATTTCATTTATCACTGAATTACAAGTAACTTTAATTCTATTGATATTGCTATAAAGCCTGTTGAAAATCTATCCTGGCACTTTTAAAGGGTCTGGGGCCCTGCTAGCTGCGTCTCCACTTGGCACTCGCGGCCCGGGAGCAGCCAGAACGACTCTCAAGGCTTCTGGTGTACCTTGGACTCTGTCAACAATCAAGGGACAGAATTGAGGGGTGGGGGAGAATTATCTCGGCACCCGCCGGCCCCGGGCCTCGGGCTCTTCTCCGCTAGTTGGGGTTCTCCCACTGGGTCCCGCTAAACTTTCCGAGACCCTGTTCCTGCACCCCCAAACCCCCACCCCCCCACCCCCCAACCTCGGGCAAACAGCTGCTTTTGACTTCAACAAAACTGGACAGGAATCAATTTCCACTGACCTTTGCCGAAAGGTGGCGCTGTTGAGGTAAAAACCAACTCGGTCCAACAATAGTTTTCACTCTTGCATCCTTTTGCAGGCTTTTCAGAATCTTTTTTTTTTAACGCACCCTCCTAGCGTCTCCCCCTTCCCATAAAGTAAAATAAATATGATTAACTCCAAATACTTTTCATTAGTCGGAGGGATCCGCTACTCCAGCGTCCAAGCAGGCGGGCTGGCCTTCCAAAGGTTGCACGCAGAGCGACACTCTCGCCTGCCCCCAAATCAAGCTCTGCTTCTCCGCCCTCGCCTATCGCTTTAAAATCTTAGAAACAGAGTTGTCTGTTGTTTTTTTTCTCTCTTCTTCTTTTCTTTTTCTTCTTCTTTTTTTTGCATAAGCTTTAAGAGAATCGATCAAGAAAATTGAATAGTTATGACCAGCTGCATCCATCGGGGAGGGGGGGGCGGGTGAAGCGGCACCCCCACCCCCACCCCCGCCGCCCCCATCCTGTGTTTCCGGGCTTGTCCGAGAAATCGCAGTTTAAAAATTAACCCTTCGAGGGGTGCTGGTGAAGCCTGCGGTGTTGCCCACCCCCCCCTCCAACACACACACACACACACACACACCCCTTGTTCCTTGGCACTGCCAGGTCCGAAATAATTAAGCGAAAGGTACAAGTGCAAAGTGCGTGCCGGGGACCCTAATAAACAGGGGTCAGGTTTCAGCAGGGGGGGCGCGCCTGAGGGGGTGTCAGATGAGGGGGGACGGAGAAGGAGGGGAGGAGGAGGAAAGTGCCCGCAGCGGTCAGCCTTGTCCCCCAAGCGATGACCCCTGAACAACTTCTTGCGCTCCCTTAAGGAGGCTGCGCGCACGGGCTCTGTCCCCGTGCGGACTCGGGACCGCTCAGGCCGCCGGGCGGTGTCCAGCGCGCAGTCCGGACCCTGCACTCCCCCGCGCGGGCACCCGGGAGAGGACAAAGAATCGCGCCAGGTTGGAGCCCGCGCGGCCAGGTTAGGGGACGCAGGTCCTCCTGGCAGGCACCCGGCTGCCAGAGGGAGGAGGAGGAGAGGGGGAGGGAGGAGGGGGAGGAGGAGAGGAGGAGGAGGAGGAGGAGGAGGAGGAGGAGGAGACGAAGAGGAGGAAACTGCCGGGCGCATTCCCGCGGCTGGAGGGAGCGGAGCGGGTCCCCGCGGGCCGGGGCTGGGCAGGCCTGTCCCTCTCCCGCTCCCTCTCCCTCTCCCTCGCCCGCCCCGCGTCCCGCACCCCCTCTGGAAAACTCCCCCCCACCCCCAAGACACACACACCCCCTGCAGCAAACTTCGAGCCGGGCCGCGGGGCCCGGGAGGCGTCCTCGGCGCGGGGAGGGTTAAGGCGGCCCGGCCCAGCTGACAGTCAGCTGATTGGGGCCTGATTGACAGCTCCGAAAAGTTTCCTTGTTTCTATACTATTATGCTAATCGCGGCCGCGCTCGCCTCCTCCCATTGGCCCCGGGCCTGACGTCACGCGCGCTATAAAACTCCGCAATTGCTTTAAACTCTTCTTGCTGGATCAGAGGCTTTAAAATCTTTTTGCATCCTCGAGCCGCTGCTCGGGCGGCTGCTGCTCCGCGTCTCGGCCAACCTCCCCTTTTCGCTCGCCTTTGCCTCGCCTTTTCCGCAGGACTTTGCTAATTTGCCTTTTTTTTTTTTTTTTGAAAGAGAGGGAGGGTGAGGGAAGAGGAAAAAAAAAAAGAAAGAAAGAAAAAGACCTGAAAGAACTAAACTCCCACCCTCCCCCCCACCCTCCTCCCTTTTCCTCCAGCCGGGCTGCGCCTCCGTCTCTGCACTTTGCACGGAGGGAGAGGGGCAGGCGCGAGGGAGAGAGAGAGACAGAAACAGAGAGAGAGAGAGAGAGACAGACACAGAGCGAGCGGAACGGGGGCCAGCGCCAGGGAGCGCGAGCGAGAGAACCAGCCCGGGCCGAAGAGGCGGCGAGAAGCATGAAGTGCTAGGCGGCCCGCGCCCGGGGCCCGCGCCGCCGGGACCGCTCCGCCTGCAGCCCCCGGGCCGGCGCGCCGAGAGCCTCCCTATGCCCAGCGCGCAGCCGAGCGGCGAGCGGGGGACGCCGCGCACCGGGCCGCGCTCCTCCGCCTCCGCCGCCGCCGCCGCCGCCGCCGCCGCCGCCGCCGCCGCCAGCCCGAGCCCCGGCGCAGCCCCCGGAGCCGCCCGCCGAGCCTGAGGCCGCCGCCGGGCCCGAGCCGAGCCGAGCCGAGCGAGCGCAGCGCGGCGCACGCCGGCCGGCCGCCGGCCGGGGCGCGCGGGCGAGCAGCGCGCGAGCGAGCACCTTGGCGTGAGCAGGGGGGGCGGAGGGCGGGCGCGGGGGCCCGCGGGCAGGCGGGAGGTGCGAGCGCTCGGCGCTCTCGGGCCAGCCACCGCGGCGCGCGCGCGGGCGAGACGCGCCCCTGCCCGGCAAGCTGGCGCACCCGCTGGCCACCCAGCACAGCCCGCTGCCCCCTCTCCTGCAGCCCATCTGGCGGAGCGGCGGCGCTGGCGGCGTCGGCGGCGGCGGCGGCGTCGGCGGCGGCCGGAGGATGGCCTCGGAGCTGGCCCTGAGCAACTCCGACCTGCCCACCAGCCCGCTGGCCATGGAATATGTTAATGACTTCGATCTGATGAAGTTCGAGGTGAAGAAGGAGCCGGTGGAGACGGACCGCATCATCAGCCAGTGCGGCCGTCTCATCGCGGGCGGCTCGCTCTCGTCCACCCCGATGAGCACGCCGTGCAGCTCGGTGCCGCCGTCGCCCAGCTTCTCGGCGCCCAGCCCGGGCTCGGGCAGCGAGCAGAAGGCGCACCTGGAGGACTACTACTGGATGACCGGCTACCCGCAGCAGCTCAACCCCGAGGCGCTGGGCTTCAGCCCCGAGGACGCGGTCGAGGCGCTCATCAGCAGCAGCCACCCGCTGCAGGGCGGCTTCGATGGCTACGCGCGCGGCGCCCAGCAGCTGGCCCAGGCGGCCGGGGGCGGGCGCGGGCGCCGCGCTGGGCGGCGGCGGCGGCGGCGGCGGCGGCGGCGGCGGCGGCGCCGAGGAGCTGGGCCCCGCCGCCGCCGTGGTGTCCGCCGTGATCGCCGCGGCCGCCGCGCAGGGCGGCGCGGGCCCGCACTACCACCACCACCACCACCACCACGCGGCCGGCCACCACCACCACCCGACGGCCGGCGCGCCCGGCGGCGCGGGCGGCGGCGCGCCCGGCCCGGCCGGCGGCGGCGGCGGCGGCGGCGGCGCGGGCGGCGCGGGCGGCGGCGGCGGCGGGCGGCGGCGCGGGCGGCGGCGGCGGCGGCGGCGGCGGCGGCGGCCCGGCCGGTGCGGGCGGCGGCGGCGGCGGCGGCCGGCGGCGGCGGGGGGCGCGGCGGGGGCGGGGGGCGCCCTGCACCCCGTGCACCACCACGCCGCGGCCGGCCTGCACTTCGACGACCGCTTCTCGGACGAGCAGCTGGTGACCATGTCGGTGCGCGAGCTGAACCGGCAGCTGCGCGGGGTCAGCAAGGAGGAGGTGATCCGGCTCAAGCAGAAGAGGCGGACCCTGAAAAACCGCGGCTATGCCCAGTCCTGCCGCTTCAAGCGCGTGCAGCAGAGACACGTCCTGGAGTCGGAGAAGAACCAGCTGCTGCAGCAGGTCGACCACCTCAAGCAGGAGATCTCCCGGCTGGTGCGCGAGCGGGACGCCTACAAGGAGAAGTACGAGAAGCTGGTGAGCAGCGGCTTCCGAGAAAACGGCTCGAGCAGCGACAACCCGTCCTCGCCCGAGTTTTTCATGTGAGTCTGAGCCGCGCTCGCTCGCAGCTCGCCCGCCGCCGGGTCGCGCGCTCCGCGGGGGTCCCCCTCCCGGGTGCGGGCCGGCCCCCCGTCGCCCCCTCCCCCGCCGCGCTCGCCCACCCCCGCGCCGTGCAGCCCCGACGCGCGCGCGCGCGCCGCACGCGCGCACACACCGGCGCGCGCTCAGCCCCTGCACACCCTCCTGCACACCCCTCTGCACACCCCCCTGCACACACACACACACACCTTGGCCGGGCTCCGAGTTGGTGGTGGCGCGGCCGGCTGGCGGCGGTGGCCGATCTGAAGTCGGGGAGGGGCTGACTCCATGGATTGCCAATCTGAAATTCTCCCTAACTTCTTAGCTTTTTTTTTTTTTACAAAAAAAAGAAAAAAAACTTGCACAGTGTTTAAAGATCTCGGCAGAGTTCTTCACTGCAACATAGCTCGCCTTTGAAACCTGCATCTTTCACATATATATATGTATACATATATATATTAGTTTTTCATCAGTTCACGAGCTGGTGTTCGTTTTCTGTGTGTGTGTGTTCTGTTTGGATTTTTTTTTTTACTTTTACTTTTTTTTTTTTTGGAGCTTGCTGTGTTGTCCTTTTCCCCCAACCTGCACCCTCACTCCCTCCTCACCCATCACCTCCGAGATAAAAGAAAAAAGGAAAAAAAAGAGCTGGTTTTATTTTCTCCTCCTGAGTCCTTCCTGTGAGATTGAGCTTGCAAAGAAAACAAAAATGTGAAATGTTCTATGACTCGCAGCAGCGTGCTGAGTTCCATCCGGGTTTTAGCATTGTTATGCTAAAATAGAGAGAAAAAAATTCTCATGAACCTGCCACAATCAAGCCTGCATCAACCTTCAGGTGTGACCTGAGAGTTTAGTCTGCCATTAAAAACTCATTCTCATCTCATGCATTATTATGCTTGCTACTTTGTCTTAGCAACAATGAACTATAACTGTTTCAAAGACTTTATGGAAAGAGACATTATATTAATAAAAAAAAAGCCCTGCATGCTGGACATGTATGGTATAATTATTTTTTGTTCTTTTTTTTCTTTTGGCTTGGAAATGGACGTTCGAAGACTTATGGCATGGCATTCATACTTTTGTTTTATTGCCTCATGACTTTTTTTGAGTTCCGAACAAAACTTGCGACCCTAGAGCCTTCTTCCCATGAAAGTTTGCATCCGCTCCAGAACTTCTTTGAGTTATTCAGAACTTCAGCCTCCCATTGTAAATGCACTGAGGGCATTCCTTGTCACAGATGCCTGAAAGGGTGAAAAATTTCACATGGCAAATATTAAAGAACTCCTTGTCACATTTTCCTTTTAATACGAATGGCACCCACTTTGGGGGACTAAAATTTGTGCTGATGCGGAAAGCAGTCTAAACCTTATTTTTTAAGAGAAGAAATCTGCCCCGTTATTTTTTGGTTTGGTTTTTATTTTTATTTTATCTTTGGGTTTTTTTTTTGGCTTTTGGTCATTGTCAAATGTGGAATGCTATGGGTTTCTAGTATATAATTTAATTCTAGTTTTTATAATCTGTTAGCCCAGTTAAAATGTATGCTACAGATAAAGGAATGTTATAGATAAATTTGAAAGAGTTAGGTCTGTTTAGCTGTAGATTTTTTAAAAGATTGATGCACTAAATTGTTTACTGTTGTGATGTTAAGGGGGGTAGAGTTTGCAAGGGGACTGTTTAAAAAAAAGTAGCTTATACAGCATGTGCTTGCAACTTAAATATAAGTTGGGTATGTGTAGTCTTTGCTATACCACTGACTGTATTGAAAAACCAAAGTATTAAAAAGGGGACGCACCCCTGTTTATATCTGTAGGGGTATTTTACATTCAAAATGTATGGGTTTTTTTTTTCAAAATTAAAGTATTTGGGACTGAATTGCACTAAGATATAACCTGCAAGCATATAATACAAAAAGAAATTTGCAAAACTGTTTAGAACGCTAATAAAATTTATGCAGTTATAAAAAATGGCATTACTGCACAGTTTTAAAATGATGCAGATTTTTTTACAGTTGTATTGTGGTGCAGAACTGGATTTTCTGTAACTTAAAAAAAATCCACAGTTTTAAAGGCAATAATCAGCAAATGTTATTTTCAGGGACTGACATCTGTCTTTAAAAAATAATGAAAAGTAAATCTTACCACAATAAATATAAAAAAATCTTGTCAGTTACTTTTCTTTTACATATTTTGCTGTGCAAAATTGTTTTATATCTTGAGTTACTAACTAACCACGCGTGATGTTCCTATGTGCTTTTCTTTCATTTTCAATTCTGGTTATATCGAGAGAAAGAATAATCTACAATAATAAACTGCATTTTTTTTTTGATTCTGTACTCAGTTTCTTAGTGTACAGTTTAACTCGGCCCAACCCTGCCTTAGAAATTTTTAAAACGCGGCTTTTCTCCAGAGGAAGGATTCAGTGGAGCAGGGAAGGCAGCGATTTAGAGAGGAACATAGTCTGTTTTGTCAGGGGGGAGGGAGGCCTGTTCCTTGGAATAATTAGCGATATTTAATCTGAATTTATAGGATGACCTCGCAAAAGTACCTCCTTGCACCACCCCCCCCCCCACCACCACCACCAAAAAAAAAAGTTTTTAGTTTGCAAGGGAGTGAAATCATCACTACTCTTTGGTGGAAACAAACAAGCAAATGAACATTCCGCGGGAGAGCTGGGTCCTAACTCGGAGCGTGAGGGAGTACCTAGCCTGTCTCTAGAGCCAGGTGCCACCAGGCCAGTAAGGCCTGAGCCGGACAGTTGGTCCATGTGCAGCTGATGGGGGAAGAAACATGTCTTGCCTTTTGGCTCTGCTGGTTGCTTTTTTCCCTCTTCACTTTCATGACGTGATTTTCTTGTTAGCCAAGGACTGACAATATCTAACACCCACACTTGGGACAAGACAGAGGTATCGGTTGTTTTCTCCCTCGGAAGGTCTTCCTGGCTTAAATAGGAAAGAGCCGAGAACTCCCACCCGTGATGGCCAGAAGACCCCGCCCTGAGTCTGGGTGATCTAAGCCCGTTTTCTCTGTAAATACTTAGGAGGGGCCCATTTGGTTTTCCATAGAGATGCCGAGATTTCTGATGTAGACCCCAAACAGGCTGCCTATCGTGTCAGGGGGCTAATTTAGAGATCACTGGGAAAGCCTTGAGCTCCTTTCAAACACAGCACTGACCTACTTTAAAAAATGACAAATTCATGCCACTAATCTTACAGACTCGTGTTGATTGCACTTTCAGTCAACTTCCCGAAGGGAGCTCATAGACCCTTAGACAAAGCCAGCACTGTTTGGGAAAACAGAGCCAAACATGGTAACTTTTGTTTTATTTTGATTTCGGTTCTTTAAAAAAATGCACATACCATAATAGTGCAACCCTGAACAAAAGCTTTATTTTGAGGAAAACAAGTCATGCTCACGGCTGATGCGTCCGGCTCAGTTCATCACACCTTGCCTCTTTGGCCATTTTCCCCAGAACACGAAGAAAGTGTGTGTTCTACAGTTGACCTTCCTTTCTCCCAAGCCCACTCTTAACCTCACTAAACTAAGGTCTTGGTGGTACACCACTTCTCAGTGCTGGAAGAGCAGTGTTCTCTGCTTCAGAGATTTCTCCCCTACCCCATCTTAGAGGCCACGACACAGCCTCTCAGCGAAGAAGAAGAAATAGAGATATCACTTGTGTAAAAAGCACTAGGTTACAGAGTTGAGAGAGAGCACATTCTCAGAATCAGAGTGAGTGACTATGATTTCTCTCAGGAAGAAAGGAACCTGGTAGGAAACCCCACAGCGTGATAATAAAGCACGCTGCTAGGATTGTACCAGCCAGTTCAGTATGGGGGCAGATTTGCCCCTCTGACCAGGAGCAAGTAGAGTTTGGCAAAAAGTGGGATTCAGTGGTAGACCTTACGAGTATGTTCACTCCCCGAGGAAAGCAATTTTTTTTAGAAATAGACATTATGAAAAACTTTAAAATGCAGCGTGAGTGGCAAATGAGAATACATGTTGTTGGGTTCAACCCCCGCCCACAACTCACCTCCTCCATCACCACCACAAAAAAAAAATGCTAAATCCTGCCCGAGTGCCCTTAGTCGAAATTTAAAAACAGGAATATAAGAAAAGCCAGTTTTCCCTTTACACTTCATTTGACACTTTATCTACATAGTGTTAAAACACCTTTCCTTCCAACGACAGAACTGTGTCCCTTTGGCAAGTGGGACATCCGTGGAACATACCGCATTTTGGAAGCTCCTTCAGTGTATACTTCCCAGTGTATTCACAACTTGAATTTGCTGTGAGAACTCTATGTTCCAAATAGGCGGTTATTAATTATTATTCTTAGCATAATCGTCACCTCTCATGAAAACCACCCTACCCCTAGATTAGGGTTTATTTTTTCTTGCTTGAATTTTTTTTTCTGTGGGGGGAGGTTGTTTTTACAAAAAAATTGTTGTGGTAGAGATGAAAGCGATGTCATGTCCGACCTCCATAGCCATAGTGAGGGAAGCCAGGGGTCCGAAGGATGGAGGCAGAGACCCGTCAGAAAGGGCTCTGCTCTGCCTGAATTTCCCACGCGGGACGCGGGACACGAAATAGATGAGCTTGTTTGTGAACTGGGCTATTAGTTGTAAAAGCCCACAGAAATTTACTGGAGTGTGTGTGTGTGTGTGTGTGTGTGTGTGTGTCTGTGTGTGTTCGTGTGTACGCGCGCATGCATTTTTAGGAAGGGACGTTTCACAGTCAGGAATCGTTTGTATCTTTCACGCTTGTGGAGACATTACACACCTAAATAACACCTTTCCACACTTCATTCTTTCTCTGGTTGATAATTTTAATAAAGAGAAAGAAAAAGATTTGATCCCCGCCACCCCCGCTCCTGGCAGATACCATGGGCAGAAATGTTCTAGGCGCCAGAGCCAAGCGCCCTGGTTCGGTGAGACCACAGCCTAGCCTGGTACTGATGATGGGTGATGGTCATTGCTGAGACGTGGCCAGACCCATTTGTAGTGGCCCCAATACAAAGTCGAACACACCTCCGTAGTCCCCAAATCACTTTCCTTTAATTTCCCTGCTCCCTGCACGGATGCCTTTTCCTCCCCTGCAATAATTCCTTCCAGTGGCCGGGGGGGCACCTGACCAGATGGGCATCCTCCAGCCTGTGTCTCTGTGAGTCTCAGCAGGGGACGATGTGTCAGGTGGATTCTGCTGACCTGCCCCCAGGCCATAACCACCTGGGTCTGCTTTGATCCCTGGCAACCCCAGAGTCTCTAATACTGATGCATGTCCCCCCGACCACCACCACCAGACTAACTTTTCTTTCCCTTGTTTGTGTCTTTCCCCTGTGTGTTCCTTTCGGTCACAGCAACTCGAGATAGTTCCCTGCCTAGGTGCGACTGCCCCTTGCCAAACCACCAACTTTGTTGCTAAAAGCCGAGAATGGAGGGCACGGGAAACGGCAGCGGGGTGAGGTTGGGCGGTGGCATCTCTTTCCCCTCCTGGGCCACACAGCTGCATCCCAGTCGCCGCACTCCTGGCATTTCCCCAGCTCCATGTCCGGGGTGGCTTTGGACATGTGCGTGGACGGGACCGCGGGTGCCCGGCCTGTCCCTGCCCCTGTCTCTGGCAGGCCGACATCCACATTTATGAAACGCTGTCCCCGGGCATTCTCTGCCGCTCAGCGTGTTGAAACGTCTGCTGGCCACACAGCTAGCTCTATTGTTCAGGGCTCACGATAGGGGTTGCAACACCAGACTGCGAGGGACAGCATGGCCTTCAGTGGGCCGCTGTCCACTCCAGGACAGTTCCCAGCCCTGCCCGGAGGCCTCCCTGTCCCTCCAGCAGACAGTCAGGGGGACTAGGAAACCAGGCCCGCCTGTGTCTACTGCAGCCTTCTCTGCGTCGCCCGTCCGCGATTACTTCCATCTGATTTGAAAGGGAACGAACCCGTTCCCCATTCTTTGAAGCCACGTACTTAGTTTTTGTTTTGTTTTGTTTTCGTGGAAGGGTGGTGCCAATTTTCACCACTTTCCTTTGTCCCTCATGTCGGATGAATTATTCAAAGTTGGTCCCTCTCGGTGTTCAGGAAAAGAAGAGAAGCCCTGAGGTTTCTGCCCATTCTTGGCGTCTGCGTAGATGAGGTCCAAGGCCAGAGGGCATTCTGGGAGGTCCTCAGGGAGGTGGCCCAGGCCGCAGCCGGTTCAGTCGGGGTTTGTTTGTTTGGGTTTCGCCCTTGTTGAAGAAGACAGCCAAACATCTGTTTGTGTCTTCGCCCACCTTCTGGTGACACTGCGTTTTCTCGCTTTGCTCTTGATGCAAGTCTTCCAGATCTCGACGGGCCCTAGAGAAAGGGACAGTCTCTCCAAACGCAACTCCACCCGTCCTCCTGAACGAAACCCAGCTCAGTCGAACCACTTTTTTGCAGTTTCCTTTTTTAATTTTTTTTTCCTCTGTGGTGGGAGTGTGTGCCGGGGGTGGGAATCTCCACACTGGTTGGGGGGGGGGGGGGCATCTCTAGCCCTTGCGGGGGGACAAAAACAAATAAAAGGAACCAACACAAATACAAAACCCCCAAACCCCAAAGCCCGTCAGATGGTTTTGCCGGACGCTCGGGGAATTCCTGAGCTCTCTCTTGCCCCATCTGAAGGGGGTAAAAGACAGGTGCGGACCGTGGCAAGGATGTGGTACCCCCAGGGTGGCCACTGCCAGGCCAGTCCCCTCTTTTGATGGACCCCAGGCACCAGCAACTGGGCTCCCTTATTTTTCAGACAGTCTCACGGGTCCCCTTTTCTTGGTCACTGATTTTTTAGCATTCCGGGTGAGAGCCGGACACCGGGTGACGTCCGGGGCTGCCCGTGGGGGACAGCGTAAATCCATCCACCCTGGGATTCTGGTGGTGGTGACATTTGGGACAGGTCACACCTATCCTGCCAATGCTTTCCGCATTTATGGCCTCACGACAGCTTTCATTGTTCGCATCTGAGAGCCCTTTGTGTGGGGGCAGGACCTGGGGTTGAGGCAGGGCGGAGGCAGGGAGAAAGAACCCCCCCCCCCCCCATGCAGCCCTTTGTAAATCGGCGGCCCAGCCGGGAGGAGGCCACTTGGAGGAGTCTCAGGACTTTGCTTTTCCCTGCGAGAGGTTATGACTGGACCGTGAGGCTCCTTCCCCAGATCTCCCTCTGCTGAAGCACCCCCTTCCCTGCCTTCAGCTGAACACAGTTTCTTTTTTATTAAATAAAAATCCTCCCCCGGGTCCCCCCCCCCACCCCGCCTTCGCCCCCGCCCCAATTAGGATGATCTGGGATTGCAAAATCCTTCCTCCCTCCTCGGCAGACTCTC